CATGTATCGAAACTAAATGTATCGTAACTAAATGTATCGCAACTACATGTACCGCGACTATATGTCTCGAAACTACATATATCGAAACTACATGTATTGAAATTAGATATATCGAAACTAGATGTATCGAAACTATATATATATCGAAACTAGATATATCAAAACTAGATGTATCGAAACTATATGTATATATTGAAACTACACATATTAAAGCTACATGTATCGAACAAATATATATCGAAACTATACATATCGAAATTACATATATCGAAACTACAATGAAAAGTAAAATTGAATCTATACTACGTTCATTTTTAAACAGTTATAACTCTATGAGAAGAAATCATACGATAACACTTTTTAGACCAATACAAAGGGCAAAGCCTGTACTTTCACATTCCTAGATTGAATTTTTCCCTAGATGTGTCTATAGTAGAAAACAAAGGCAAGTTTTTCACTTCAAAAATTATAAAAATTCAAACACTGGTAGTTTCCTTAACAAATTTTTTCGCGGTCCGAATTATCATAAATCGATTCACTGAAGTGTCCACTTTTCAAAAATCCCATAAAAGTTACTAGACGATTTTTCCTTGCCAAATATATCGAAATATCTAGTTTTTCGCAAAGATTTAAACGAAACTTTAATGAATGCTTCGAATCCCTATTTTTCTGGGTTTTGTCGATTCGTTCATTATATCCATTAGGTATGAAATTTAATAGTAATTTAATAGTTTCTCTAATAGTAAAGAGATCAAGTGACCTAGATTTGAGTGTGAAGGTACTACTAAATATTTACGAACAAGGTTCAGCATCGAACATTGGTATTCAGAAGAGGATGAGTGAATGCACATTTTCCATAGCAATCCTAATTAACTCCTACATCTATAAATCTTGCAAGTGTCAGGAAACTATTTGCCTTTTCCTTATTGTTAGTTAGCCGTTGACCAATTATCCAATATAGACCTAACATGCCATCCATCCTGTGAAATAGTCAGTACCTACTAGTCACTGGTCATTCTCTCTAAAATCATTCCTGCCATCTAAGTTACACGTACATTATCTCAGATCTATTTACTTCCTTGATAGTATCCAATGTCTAAAGATTTCGTTTCAGCAGTCTTTCTCACGATGAAATTTGGGCTTTGAAAGATTGGAGTTCAAAGAATAAGGGAACCCTTCAAGAAATATACGAAATTTTCATAGTGGGAAAGATACAAAGGCACCAAAGAAGGAAATAGCATCAAAAATGAAATTTTTAGCAATAAGAAAAGTGCCAAAAAAGGAATTTTATTAACGAAAGAGAGAAACACAAGAACTTCAAAGGAGGGAATTTCTGCAATAAAAGAGGTAGTATAAAGTTACGAAAAAGCAAATTTGTGTAATCAAAGAGACAGTTTGAAAGCAGCAAAAGAAACAGCAGCAGTATCAAAATACGACGTGACGAATTCCAGGTATAACATATTAAATACGACCGTTAAATTTTTAATTCGTACAAAAATTGTAGAAAATTTGATGTAAAATTCTGGAGAGAAGTAGAACGCAAATTTTTCTTCAAAGGAAGGGAAATTTTCAACGAGATTTTTCGAAGGAAAAATCCCGCCAGTAGCGACAAAAGCATCATCCGGGGTGTTCAACGACGCGTACTCCCGGCAACTTACGCGGGGAAAACATACATCAGAAGCGGTGAAGAAAAACTCGACTCGATATAAAGCTGGGGATATTAGCATGACAGGCAAGCAGCATCAAATTGCTGGACCTAAAAGCCCCTCTGCTAAATCGTCCGTGCTCTTCTAATGGACTGCCAGCAGAAGAAGTTTAGTCCCCATGGGGTGTTCCTTCAACCCTCTACCTATATGTCTTACGCTTTCAACTCGTGGCTTCTAATAAACATGTCTTAAAAAATGAAAAGAAAAAACGGTGAGATTGAAACTTACGTTATAAGGACAGATATTTTTCAAATAGTGCAAGACCTAATTATTCATCGTTTGACAAAACTACCAACCTATTTGGTCCAGTGCTCATGTGGTAAATTAATTCAACTGCGGTGATGCCCTGAAGATATTCCTTCCTCTGACTTGATGCGACTGAAAAAGCCGCACTGGAGTTTTACACGGACTGTTGCACGTGATACTAATGTCCTCGTTATCACAGCTGAAAAACTGTTGTTCCTGATGGAAAACGGAAGTCATCTGTAACCGATCTTGACATTTTTACTAGTGAAAATAATACACAAAAAGAAAATAAGAAATGACTTACATAGGAACCAATATCATAGAACAAATTAGGTCTAATAGATAAAAACGTATAAAGAACATCAGCAAGATCTACAAGCAAAGATAATCAATGGTTGTATGCCAGTGCTACTTAAAATAGCATTTGAGAGCTTGAAAATTGCGTGTTTACCAGCGAGGTGACAAATTCGCCATGTCAAAGTGGTTACAGTGTAGCGGAGCGGCAATTTTCAAAACTTCTCGGGCTTTAAATAGTTATGATCGAAGAAGCAAGATGGCGGGGGATGAGAGAGTGATAAGAGAATCGTGGCTGTAAAAAGATGCATCGCGAAGGCGGGCTTTCGAGGCGCGAAACACGCTCTCATGCATCTTTAGCAAAAAAAGTAACCAGGCAAACTTTTCCATCCACCTCGGTTCTACACCCTCGCGACAGCTTGCACCCTCAATATTTTACTCCATCTCGCAGGTCACCGCACTGTTTTCTTCTTTCCAATAAAGATGTTAATGCTGAATTTCAATAGAATTCGATTATTCAGAATTTTACGGTAAAAGGAGGAACTTTGAAAGCATTTAAGCGTATTATTTTCAAACGGTAGACACTGTGAAATATTTGGAAATAGATTTCCATTAAATTCGTTTAATCGACGTCACTTCACGATTGTCAGCGTACATAACCTAAAAATTGTACCGGAAGATTATTACAAGGATGTGCGATAAACGATATAAGTCTAAGTAGATACTCACGGTATTCAAAGTGTGGAAGGGATCAGAATATGGAGAACACGATCAGGTTATGTCTGTTAAAGGGACTTGAATACGCTTTGACACAGGAGACTGTCACTCAATCACCCTACTTGACTCTAGCTGGCCATTTGTGCTGGTATATTACCATGAAAACCAACGAGAATTCTCCTTAACCTTCGTCAAAGTGTTATTTCGCAGCCAGATCACCCTAAATCTCGCATTACTGTATAGGTTACTATAGTCTCTCTTGATATGCTTTTTAGTCATCAAAATCTACTTCTAGAATAAATATGATAAGCTAAAGATCTTGTTATTTGCTTAGAATACTATAAGAATAAAATATAATATAAACTTTGAAATATATATTTAGTTTAACAAGAAGGCAGGAAAAGTATTCGACACGTTTACGTACTGTTGATATTTTTGTAAATCCATATCGATAATTTTTAAATCGACAGTAATCGTTGGTCAGTAATAGTACCGACAGAGGTCAATAGGGGGAGCGAAAAATCGGTAGAAATGCGAGCCAGGCCACTTTATACGCGTCACTGTAACGTTATCCAAAACGGAGTGCGATCGGATTGTCTCGAATGAGCATGACATAATTGTGAAAACGAGATGAACCAGCGTCGATCCAATTGCTGAAACAACACCGTGGTCGACGTACTCTCGTATCACACCGAAGTGGAAGCGGACCGGTCTGTCGGCTTGAAACTGGAGCATCCAGCCATGGTCTGTGTTTATCTGAAACGCAATACGCGAGCACTTTTGACAGCTCTGCAGAGTGGCAAGCCCATAGTAAATCACTGGACAGAGGTTAACTGACTGGAGAAAAAGTCATTGCATGATGAAAAATTCACGCCTAGGTTATTTTCCGTGATTCGAAACAATTTATTTATTTCGCTTTATGCCGTTGAAGATAGGTCTTATTACGATCTTCATGATGTCGATAAAATAGCAAACTTGCTTAACCGAAATCGATACCGATCGGAAATGTAGATTGAGAAATAATCGATAATCTCACGAAATGTGGAAAGAACTACCTTTTTCTTACGAGAGAGGCGCTATATACAATAATATACATACATTCGTCTGTGGAAAGGTTATAATCGCACAGAGTGGAACGTTATTTTAAGAAGAGCTATGAATATTATTTGGAGACCATAATTAAACTACGGAAAGGCCTTTTATAGGGGAATTTCACCTTACTGTCTTATTAAACGGTGCGAAGGTTAAGGTATGATAGAATGCTATAGAAGATTCTTCTTTGAAATCTGACTTCTCTTTTTGTGCATCTACGAGTTCATATTAAACGGCATTCAAGTGACATTATTGGATCCTTCGTATTTCGTCTATTCGAATAAGAGGGAAGAAATTCGAGTTCTATTGATCTCCATTTTCTTTGTAAGCCAGAGACAAAGAACAAATTCCTGAGAATTTTCCCCATTGTTTATAATACTTCGCACACTAAATTCTATTAATGTACTAAACAGTATATCGAAAGAATAACATTGTGCATGCGTACTACAAGTGTGAATAATTTAATATAACAAGGTTTTAATTTACGGAAATTATTAAACCCATTATAGTAAATGAATCATTTATTTAAAACAACACAGAGCATTCTATACGATTCAAGGCTGCAAATACTAAAATTATAGCGACTGTTATAACCTGTACCCAATATTCTTTTGATTTTTCGACCAGGTTTTTCGGGAAAAGCATTAAATCTCAGAATGCTATTCTGATATATAAAATATTACACGAGCAAGTAATATGACACAAAACTTTTATTTAATATATTAGCGAAGGTTATCTATAACCTAAACCAGGAAAATTTCTCGCTATTTTTGCGCACGAATTTCTCCACAATATGAGATCCAAAAGGACGTCGCGATCGATCACGAATCAGCGTTGAAATATTTGTTTGATTCTCATCATTTATTTCCACCGTCGAACGTTTCCCATCTGATCGGAAATATTTTATACATTTTTTATATGGTTTTTTGTTTTCTTTATTTGCAGCTTGCACCGCCTCGCAATACAAATGCAACAACGGCCAGTGTATTGACAGTAACGCTCGCTGTGATGGCGTGACAGATTGTTCAGACAGTTCTGACGAACATAACTGCCGTGAGTATATCGACTACCTTTCTTCGTGCATGGAAAATTATTTTCTTACATATTTTCTTCGTTTCATTGTGCCTGCGCATTTATATAAAATATATTTCGTATACCAGTGTACATGTGGTCGATGAAATGCACATGTGTTTTTAAGTACAAAAAATTGGTTATTTTTTGAAATTAATTTTGCAAAAATAATTCTGCTTTCGTGAATAATTTCGTCTCTTTTTGATTAATTAACCAATTAAAAAAAATTAAAACTTTTCTCTCTCGCTTTTTCTCTCTCTTTCTTTCTCTGTGTCTCTTTCTCTGTCTCTTTTTCTCTTTATATTTTTAGTTTTATATTGCAATGTAACATGAAACCTCTAAACAATTTGCTTCGTTTGAGATATATTTGGAAATCTTTTACTAACCAATCCTAACCTCTTAGAATTAACGTTACTTGTTACTAATAATTTAATAAATTTAGGATATAGCTACTTGAGCGATAAAGATGATTGTGTTCCTCTTATTCTCGTTTTCTGTTGAGATTCAAGAGCAACTGAATTTTCACTTGCATTCTTTGATATCCATGATGCAAGTATATAGTGTGGATTGTGATGAATGTAAATCTGTTACATACTCTCAAGCAAGTAATAACTACACAATATTAACCGTTGATTTAACGTATATTTATAATCAGATTCACTGCCTACATAACCTAACCTTAAAACTTAAAGATGGAAAAAATGTTAATTATTAATCTACACAAACAAATACATTTCTTGTCAAGCTTCATGTACTCTGAAGACACTCAAACATCAAGACATCAATGCATGAAACATTCCCTTAAAACAATATTCATTTAACCTAACAAATGCTTTGAGCGTTCGCCTTGAAGAGTCGACTTTCTCCATACCTTCCAAGTAAGTTAGCTTGTAAAACAACTTTTCTTATTTAAATTTCCTTGGACCCTATAAAATCCTCATTCCATAACAAACTAACAATCTTATCATATTCACAGACTCAACAGATCCAAAACCAGGCTTTTTGTACATTACACTTCGTCGTCAATTATTATCAGTATCACTCAAAACCTATTCGGCGAGTCATACACAAACAGAATCCACATCGACAAGCAAGAAAGAAAGCAAAAGCAGACCTATTTTATCATGGACTATCATCAGACTCGCACGCAACTACGCCAGAACTAATCGCGAACTAGTAGGTATTACGATGAGCTCAATAATTACAATAGCTGTGACAATAATAACAATAGCGTGTTCGGAAGACTCGGGAGACCAGGCAAATGGGGAGGTGAGGGGGTTGGCCTCGCGTTTTCAGGCCATTGCACTTCTTGCCCCTTCTTTGCTTCCCTATGCCAACCCTCCCTCTGTCTTCCTGTCCTTTTAACCCCTTATTATTTCCATCGTCTTTTGCAGAGACACGCTCCGACGCTACACGTCGAAAGTTAACCGCCCCCACGGTGATGCTTTGCGTTCCTTTCTTGCTCCATGTCGACCTGGAACACAGATTTTAGTTCGTAGGCATATCGCAGCGAAAAGTACCTATTTTCTGTCACTGCTAGCTTGGTCTATCCACTTGTACACATTATAGGAGAATTCGGAAACATTTTACTAAAGAGTACTTCCTTCTTTTAAAAAGGAAGTACTTAGAGCTAGTCGAAATGAAGTATTTGGTGTTTTGGTTTAGATAGGTCGAGAATGTATTTGTTAACGTATTTAGGAGAAAGTAGTGAATCTCTGGAAAAGCTTCGGTTAGCAAACCACAAAAATTGGCTTGCATTTTGAAATACCGGTGAGGTTTACTGTCATCCTGTTCTCTATAGTATAAACTGGGTAGCTGAATCTAAAATTTGACTGAAAAAATTCTAACAAAGCCACAGGGTTGCACGCGGTTGTCACGTTGAAATTAAAGCTGCTAATCTTCTCGTCTTCAACAAAATTTTACAACTCGTGGGGTCATGTTTCTTCGCAGTGTCGCGAGATAAACTAACAAAATCAAAAATGCAAACTCGATACCTCAATCATGTCCCTTGGACAGCTTCATATTTCTAGGAAAAAGAGAGGAAAATCTTTTAAAACCTGAAAACATCAGTCTGATACACATGTTCGTATGTTGTGGCAACGCGGAGGAGGTCGTGAGGGGTCCAGGCATGAATCAGAATTGGATTAAACCTGGTGAAAACGGATGAAATTCCAGGGCCGAGGCCGCGAAAGGGCCGGCCAGCCCCGCTGGAGATTAACGTCGGATTAAAATTGCAGCCGGTTATTAGGGCGGCTTAATAAACGCGAGTAAATCTCGTTCGGCCACGGGGGCTGCCTTAAATTTGGCCGCGGGAGCGTTGTCCGTTTTTACGACGTCGATATTAATGCTGCTAATGAAGTTTGTTGACGAATTACAAAAAAAAAAAAGAAAATAAAAATAGAGAAAAAATATAGAGGGCACACAGACGAGAAACGGAGAACCGTAGAGTTATCTTGTGCATCAATACCATCTAAGGATCTTAGAAAGAGCATCATGAAGTAAACAGTAGGATTTTCTGGATTCTGTCATTTATAAACTAGCCTTAAGTTTATTCGTTTGAACTCGCTCTTTTTATTTTAGCCTTCGGAACCCGATTGTAGCATATATATTTCTTAACCTCAAAATCAAACGGATATAAAATGTTGTCTCGCTCTGTATCAATTAGGTTAGGTTGAACCAGATTCGATTGCTTGATATCATTTTTCTTCATACAATCCTTGGGAACGGCAATGTATTCTGTTCCTAACCTCAAAGATCGTAGAATGGTTAGACATTTTTGTCCCACGCGATACGTAACCGAAGCGAACGTAAAGCGGCGAATTCGTGGATGGAAAAGCAGAGGTCATCGCGATTCCATCGCGAGCCGGTGGTTTGCAATTCCAGCGTAAAACGAGTGGGGCAAGAGAACCTTGAATCTGAGAGATGATGTCAGAAAAATCGCGGAATCTCTGTAGTTCTCGGTTCGCTGTTCTCCTATGACTTCCTGTTTGGCGAGGCGGGTCACGCGTGTCACCGTGCCTCCTCGCGGCCGGCACGTTTGCCAATTTCGAGGTCGCGATATTCGCTTTATATTCGTCGATCGCCGGTGAGAAAGGAGGCACGCACTTGGCGCTTGGCAAATCACGTTAAAAACGTAACTGGATTTTCGCACGGCCGCAACCTCACGTTCCGTTCGATTCGTTGCTTCCATAGAATCGAATTAATTTGAACTTGTGCCTTTTTTTTTCTTTTTTGCGGTTGGCCCTCCCCAGTGGAGGAATGTGATTACGAAATTTATCGAGAACATTCCGCGCCTTTCGAGGCCGATTTCCCACTTTTAATGTCGAATTCGTTGCCTGTACTAGGGACTCTTGACGCGAGCATGTACCGGGTGTTCACAAATTTTAGACATGGCAATTTTCGACATACATGGAAAAGAAATTTGATACGGTTCTTTTTTCAGAAGTACGAGGCTGTGAGAAGTGATGGTCGTAAGATGTGAAAAATTGGACGTTGAAATGAGGATTGTTATTCAAGGGCAAAAGAAAGGGAAGCAACGAAAACTTGATAAAGTACACAAATTTAAATTTAATACTCCCAATTACGTCGTGTGCGAGATATGCTTTTTTTTAGAAACATGCAACGCACAATTTATCAGGTAGTACGGGTAATATATCATGGAAAAAGTTGGACAATCAAACGACGGCTATTATTTAAGAGATAATGACAGAAAAACAGGCAGCTGGTCGTCCGATGCGACGGATTAATTCAGATCTTGGTCGGTAATGCGTTCCCCAGCGATCGCGTGCCACCATTTTTCGCGTGCGAAGAAGTCGACGTTCAGGAAAAACGTGTAAACGTCGGCGTTTAATGGAAACACGGGGACACGCTCGTAACGTCGAGCTTCTGTGTAATTATTGCGCACGTGAGAGTTGTGTTTCGCATGTCGACGAGCAACAATGCCTGCCGCGAGAACAAATTCGTTCAGAAGAGAATAAAAAGGTCGAAAGAACCGACTCGCCTTTGTTACTATTAATTACTCCATGTTGTTAGCCGTGGAACAATATTTTTCATCATTTATTGTCCGCTGATAATTTTTGAACACCCGGTCTCTCATAGATTGGTATTCTAATTAGAATATATCGCATATATTATTTATAGCTTGTATTATTACTCTTTTATATTTCGCCGTGTTTAATTATTTATGACAATCTGTATGTCAGATTAAATGGTTCATAGTTCCGATCTTAGGAGCGTGGTCTTTAAAAATAGTTCTTGAAAAATGAATCGACCGCAACAGCATTTCAATTTCTGCAACACAACATTGCCAGGGAACGGAATCTATTGTTAGTTCTCTTTGTCACTGACCCATTTTTCTTTTCGTCTCCATCTTATCATGACAATAACCCGCGCACGCGTATTTTAAGGTCCAATAGTCGCGAAGAAGCTTTTGCTAAAAAGATCAAATCTCGAAGATCCTATATACTTGGCACGACTATATCGAAATGCTAATTATTGTAATTCTTTGAGTAATACTTATATATTCGACCTATAAACGTATTTCAATATTAACGATATGAATTGTATAATACATTTATGAAAATTCCCGCAACGAAATCGTGCAATCCGAGTTCGAAATGAACACCCGATATGTAGATGCTGAGAATCCAGAAGATGCATTATTTTTCACCTTGAGAATCATTTGCGAAGGATCTAGGAAACTCGATGGAAATTCCTGGCGGTTGCTTGCTTTCCGTTTCCATTCTTTCAAGTGCACTTCGTTCGAAGTGCCGTTCATCCTCGATCGTTAGCTAATTGCCGTCGTAAATTAGACAGCGGCCGCGTGGCCCGTAACTCCTTGTTCATTTATAATCTCTTCCGTGAAATTTCCTCAGGTGCGTGTTAATTAATGGCCACACCACACTGGTCCGGCTACTCTACATCTGTCTGGTCACAAATTAATTCTATGACTGCTTTTGTTCACCCCTCTCTCATATATATGGCGCCCTTTTCGTGAGGATTGAAAGCATACACGACTTCGTTTGACTCGAAATCGTTTCTCTTTTAAATACTTAGCGTACGAATATTTCGTAAACATATTCACGATACAAGTATTTACGTATATCAAAATGTTTCTTACTCTTTGTCTGGGACATAAAAAGTGAGATAGTAATTTATTTGAATCATGATGCCACGTAAAACCTTACTTTCCCACTTATGATCAACGTTTTCAAGACGTGCTTACGTAGTTTACTACCAGATGGCGCCAGGCTTGCGCATCATCTTCAACTTCTCTTTCCTAACCTCAAACTTTAAGCTTATCTCTTACAGAAAATCGTCATTTATAGCAATATGTGTTCTCTACTGTGTCTCTATCTATTTGTCTACGTTGAATCTGTTTTGTGTGCCTTCGTGGAGCTTTCTCAACTCGCACCGTCGACTTTATTGTCCTCTACAAGCAAAGAAAATGAAAAAGGGAGTCGTTGAAATATTTTTCACCCTATCAGATGGAATATTCTTGCAGCTTGCAGAGAAAACGAAATCGAATGCATCCCTGGCTTTTGCCTACACAAATCGAAAGTCTGCGATGGGTTCTTCGATTGTAACTATGGACAGGATGAGGAAAATTGTGACTACATAAGTACGAAATTAATCATATTGAATACGAACTAGAACAGAGAATCAGAAGACAGGAAAGAGGCACTAATCGCCTATGAAAGCACGTGAATGAGAGAGACGCATGTTTTCGGAAATGTTTGGTTTCAGAAGTGACTTACAAACATTTAACCTAACCGATACCTCAAAATTCGTTTGCCTTTGATATTAAGAAAAGAAAAATTACCAGAATATCGTAAATGAATGAGACTTGGATATATTCCAGGTGACTAAAAAGTATAAATCACTGGTAATAACGAATTTTGAAGCATGGTAGTATTGAAGTACAAAATGGAAGAGATATTAATTAACAGAGGAACTTAAGCACTCGTGTCAATTGGTAATGTAAAAACACATATCCATAGCTGGTTGGACAAACTACATCTCACGAAGAAACTAATTTCCTTTCTACATTCAGACTTTTTCATTATTGTAAAACGATACATACCGGGTGTTCTACGCAAAACTACCATCTCAACTTCCATTTCTACAGCGAAGCTTCAATAAAAGTATACAAAAATTTCAAAAGGTAAATTATATTAGTCGATTGTTAGATTATAGAGTGTACCAATCTCTGGTGCAGGGAAATATAATTAATATATCAACCTTAAAGAAATAAAATTTAATTAACAATATACATACACGTATATTTCGGTTGGAACTTAATAATTTATTTTCTTTCATGACCATTTTATTCGGATATCGTGCAAAAGTTGCCTGAAGATGGATGGTTGGATAGAACACCCGGTACATTGAAGGACGCGCGGGAAGCAAGCGGAAAAGGACGAGTTACGTGCGAACGTGGCACAGGATTCGATTTCAGCTGAAACGGAAGGCTCGTCGCGTGGTTATTCGGCCGAGTAATCGCTGGAGTCGAAGCATATTACTGGCCCCGATAATGGACGCTTGTTTCTCGAGTAATTAATTGCACGGCAACGAAGAGAGCAGTCGTAATCGTTCGTTCGTCCGCTCCCCCGTTTGGAATCTTATTTCCCTCCTTTCTTTGCGTCAGGACGAGGCGCAACGGAATAATCCGATTCATTATGATCGTTCCACTGCCTAATTATCCGCTGTGAACAAGCGTCGACCCGATAAACGGACCTTCCCAGCGCCGTTTCGTCTCTACTGACCGATCAATTCTACCTAGAGTCACTTTCTCGAACAATTTTGTCTAGGTTAGGTTTCCCAGTTTCAAATATTCAACGGTTCATTCCTCGAATATCGGTGTACTTGGTTCCGGTGCATGTTTTTGGAAGAGGTAATACGATTAACGATGACTGATCCAATTTAAATTTTTTCCTTTGAGTGACCTAACCTAGATTAAGCGGATAAAATGTTTCTCCATATTTTTCGTAGTGTCGAAGGACCAATTTATGTCGAAAATTTTATGTTTCTCGCCAAATTTTTCTTTTTATCTTTTCGTCTCTCATTTTTTAATTAAAATCGCGCCGCGTGTCGTCGTTCTTTTCTTTGAAGTTAATAATTTGTTTTACCAATTTTTATTTACCGTTATTCCCCGTTCCACGACGCGCAGCTGTATGTCGACCAGACGAGTTCAAGTGCGCTGACGGAAGTTGCGCGAGCCAGAGCGCGAGGTGCGATGGAAGACCTGACTGCCGAGATCATTCCGACGAAATCAATTGCAACGGTACCATTATGTTTCTTTTTATTTTTCCTTCGCTTCACTGTGGACATTTGTAAAATTTTATGTCATAATCAACGGCAAGACTAAAATGGAGAGGATAAAAGAAAGGACGATGCTAAACGTTCGTCCACATTCCACGATCTTGCATTATCCTTTTCCTTCATTCTGCGCATCGTTTGTCGCGAATGTAATTTCAATTTCATTGACATTGGTCAATCTTCATTTTCTTTCTTTCTATTCAGTGACCACCTGCAGCGGAGATCAGTACAGATGTCTGGACGGGACCTGCATCAGCATCGACAGAAGGTGTAATCAGATCATAGACTGTCATAACGGAGACGACGAGAAGCAGTGCGGTGAGTCAACCTGTCCTACTCTTTGTTAAAGGAAAAATATCGCTTTAATTGCTTCCAAGTCACGATAGGAATCTTTAAGAAACGCGGATTCCAATGAACTGATGGAATACCGTGATCAATGCACTCTCGATCTGAAATATCGATTGACAGGTATTCGAAGGCCCCTTGGGAGATCATTATGAAAGCCACAAGTTGACGTAGCGTTTGTGATGGGCTGCTAATTAATCTGAATCGACTCGCTTGGATCATAATGTTATGGAGGATGTGCTTTCCAACGTGAAACAGAGATAAGATCTCGAGCAAACTCACCTATTTCTCTTTCACAAAAATTGGAATTTGTCGTAGAAATCGATTATGCGAGTTTCCAAGTTGGAATCGTTTTCTTCCATAATGAGATGAGCCTTCTAGACTGGTCCCAATTTCAAGGTTACCCAAGAAGGACTCTTTTATAGGTCACCCCATGGATTCGTTTTGCCTTCGATTAAGAAATTGATCAGGATAGTGTAACTTTTTAAATTATCCTGAAGATAACCCATAACGACGCAAAATTGGATCGAGAAACCGACGATCTTGGTGAAATACATTTTTCCATGCTAGCCAGCCTCTCACCGGAAGTAGCTTTTTACCCCATCCCTAGGTACGATCTTCTGCCATAACACGCTTGGGCAGATTTTCAACCCTGGAAGATCATTTCCAACGAGCTTCACGTTCCCTTATCGATTACGACCCCGAATCGAATAATCCAGCGAAAAAATTCAATAAAACGGTGTGTGCATACTAATCCCTCCGTAACAAAAATTGCTATGCAGAGTCTTTCATAGGAAATAATACGAAAGGAATAGAGGTAATGCTAATAACGATAAACGAGGTTCGAAATTTTGCAAGTTCTTGCCGCAAGTTCGAAGTGATTCGAGATTTCACGATACATCCAGTCGCCAGTCATGAATCACGAAGTCATTGATCACTTTGCCGCGAGATAATCACGGCAAGAGGATCGAAACGCTCTGTGACGGTTTCATTGAGGGCTCGCTATCGACGGCACGGCTGATTTCACTGGACAGAGAGGGAAAAGGAACACGTCAAAGGGGACGCTTGAATCGTAAGCCGAACCCGCGTGTTTTATTTGTGAAGCAGGGGCTGATGAGAAGCCGGCTTGACTGCGCTTTTAACCCTTTAACTGCGCCATTCACTCGAATCTTTGTCGTTCCAAATCACCGCGGGATTAGGAATTTTTTCTCTCCGCCTCCTGCTGGTAACGAAACAGAATGTAGGCTGATGTCCAAGAACATTAATTCCTCGAATTTAAATACAGCCGTTAATTTACTCACCCTGGAAAAGAGCGATGAAAAATTGATTAAAGTCTTTATGCTCCCTTGAAAATAATTCGTAGAAAGATAAAATCCCTAGCCAGAGAATGTCGTCACTGTAGCTGACTGCAATTTCACAAGCCTAGTGCCTGGTTTCCTCTGATCGCAAAGAATATGCTCTGGTCCTCGTCCTTGCCTAAATCTTCAGCCCCCAGGTCCTTGATATTCATCCTAGTCTTTGAAACCATCGTTTGTTCTCGAGTTTTTGATAGCTAACATAGCCAAGTGACGAGAACCAGAACTCTCCGTTTGTTTGAATTATTCTGTCTGATCGGATTTGTCCTTTTATATCAGACTCTGATAGACATGATAGGTCTTCTGATAGACCTATACTATCAAACGATCTCTTTATTATAGTCCTCTTAACAATATCCATTGCTATAGCCTACGTGAAATAATCAGCAAGAGCGAGAGTGCCAAAGCGAAAGGCCTACTTTGTCTGTCTACATTTTCGCCGGGTTTACCTTTCAATATTATTGACCAGTTCCGCGACTATCGCCGGGGTTAAAGGGTTAAATGTGCATGAGTGTGGTGTGTGGAGCAGGTTGCGGACATGCCGAGTTTCGCTGCGAGGATGGCCGGTGCATCGGTTACGAGTTGCAGTGCAACGGGGTGGAGGAGTGCTCTGATGGCTCTGACGAGAGGGACTGCGGTAATTATGCCATTCACACCACCTACTCGTATCCCCACACTCACACTTACACACGCACGCACACTCTGCTGAATTTTTAAACACCGTGTCTGTTTTCTCTAATACTTTTGTCCGTCAACGTCTAGGATTAGCAGTTGCGATTAACCGTATGATGCTTCGCTGTCGTGCATCCACGATCGCTGGTTAAAATTAACGTAGAGAAACAAGTCGTTGACGATGTTGGAACAAGGTTTTAGTCGGATCGAACAGATTCAGTGGATTAATTAGCACTCTTTAAGCGGAGATCCGCGGTAGAGGAGGCTCGGTGCGTGATGAGGATGAGATCTGGTGGTTCTGTCGGTTCTATGGGGCTGAAACCGGGGAAAGGAGTGTGAAAGGCTGGAAAGGTATTTGATGTTAATTTTCACGGCTTCTTATGTCGCATATTTCGGGTTTGCTCTCGTCACTGTTTCTCGAGGAAGGCCCGTTTCGTATGGAGTTCCGTTGGCCTTAAAACGTGAAAATGGAGATCCTGAATAATGCACGCACCTGTTGCTGCGAGATAGCATGGAATATTTAAAATTGAAACCACCACGCTAATTTCGTGGTCTCCTCTGTTTAATTCCCGTGATGCTTTTATCCCGCATCTGTGCAATTTCGATTTCTAAATTGATCCCGCGAAATCTGTAATTCACCACGGGTCAGTTAACCATACTGCATTTTCAAAGGATTTTCGCAAAAGGCTTCACAGAGTGAGTTGCATCAACTGAGCTTGTAATCTTCGATCCGCCATCTTTGTTCAGCCTCTTGCGCCTTCTTTCCCTCGTTGATGTCTCCGTCGAGATGGAAGGCTAGGTTTCTCTCTGCCTCGACTTTTTTCTCTTCTTATTCCCCTCTCTCCGAGGAGAAAAATCTTTCACATTCGTCATCACGATCGTCATCGCCACAGAAAAATCCTCGTGGAAGAACGTGTACAGCGATGAGAAAACCTTTCTGAAATTTGTGCAACTAAGCCGGGATCGAAACACGAGTTACAAATCGAGGATGCAGAATCTCAAGTACGAAGAGAAGAAACCGGTGAAAGACCTTGACGATGTTTCGAAGAAAACAGTGTTCCCAGAGTACATCTCGAAGACCAAGTCAAAATCCGCAGACAAGGCTTTAAACGAAACTTCCAAGCTACGTCGTGCAGACAATTCCGACGCGAATTACGCGAAATTCGATGAAAATCTTCAACGATCCTTGAGGGTAGCAGGGAACGTGCATGGTGATATGAAGAAGCCGAAAAGGAAGAGGAAGAAGTATTCACGTAGGAAAAAGAATTTCAAAACTGAATCTGACAATGAGAATGTAACGACCACGAACATCGAAGCTTCGGTTCTATTGGACTCTACGACTTCAGCAACGTCTTTGGTCGACGAAGGCAAGACGCGTGGGAAAAAGAAATCGAGGAGGAACAAGAAGAAGCGTGAAAAGGCTAAATTTAAACGCGAACATGTGCTATTTGACCACAAAATCGACGAAGGCAAGACGCGTGGGAAAAAGAAATCGCGGAGGAACAAGAAGAAGCGTGAAAAGGCTAAATTTAAACGCGAACATGTGCTATTTGACCACAAGATTTCTGAGGACCTCGCGACATCGACAACAGTTGATAGTTCAACTGCCTCGAGCAGCCCAAATTCAATGGAAAACGAGATATTCTACAACGAAAAGCGAACTAACACGATCGGAGAGGAAAACGAAGAGAAAACCACTTGGAAGAACATAGAAGGAACTATGAGATCGGAATTTGCGGAAGATTACACAATTCCGTCAACGACTAATCGTTTCATGGAAGACGCGGATGAAGAAATCTTGCAGGATGGAGCCAACTCTACAGCAGAAGGTAGAGAACTAGAAATCGAAGATGCTTCAGTCTCGGTAAAGGATGAATTTGTTACTCTCGCGGAAAGAAGTGAAAAACCATGGTCTTCCACGGATGAAGATTTGGACGAAACCACGAAAGCTACGCCAATGACCACGGAAGAGACAACGAAAACTACGCCAATGACCATGGAAGAGACACCCACCGAGAACTTAAAAGAGCAAATTAACTTCATTGACTCTGCAGAGACTGTAAACATGAAGTGGTCCTCCGAAGAAGATTTGGATAAAAATTTGCAGGCCATCTTAAAAGAAGAAACGAGAAAATTGGATTCGCAGGAATCTACCTCCACTTTGTCGAATCTCGAACATTTTTCACGAAAAGAAATGGACCAAAGTCCAGAAACAACGACTTCCATTGACGAAACTACAGTGACAAGTTGGAAAAATTATTCTAAGACGGTAGAAAGCAGGGAATCTGATCTACAGGAAATAATTCTCGACGATGTCAATAAGGATACTGAAGTTTTGACAACATCTACGGAAGAAGATTATAACTACGGTCATCTACCCTTGAAATTAGAGACAGAGTTATTCGAGTCGAATTCAAAAAATTCCAACATCAAGATAGACTTGTTGAGCAAAGACAGGTTATCCAGCGAAGGCTCCCGCAACCTCTCGCTTTCTGCTGATCAGGACTTGGAAAATGGGTTATACAAGTGTACATCGAAGTGCACGGAGTTTTGGAAAAAGTTATACAAGCTTAAAAACAAAAAATATCGAGCAATAATCGAGAAAATCTTGAACAATGTGACAATAGATGATTCCGAGTCAGCTAGTCCCGAGGAAACCACGATTTTCGAACCTGGCACTGATAATTACACCGATTCATCCCAAGAATTGCTGGAATTGACAGAGGTATTCGATCCAAATTTGCCCCTGAACCCGGTTCAGAATCATACGAGAACAACGGAGTCATCGAGTTTGGTAGAGATCATCACGGAACTCGGCAACGATAGGACTAAAACGGGGAAGAAGAACAAAGAAAACAAGGATAAGAAGAAAAAGATAAGACATCGAGGCGAAAATAGACCGAAGCAACAATCCACGATGACTGAGCAGATCGAGACAACTGCCAGCTTTGATCAGACTACCTGGAGCACCACTAGTCCCTTATTTAACCTCGTTAATTCCATTTCCTCTAAAACTATCTCACCGTCTACAAGGAGCGATATCATACAGTCCCAGGAAATTGAGGACCAGGAGGAAGGACAAAATCAACAGAGTAATACATATTCCAGAGCAAGTGACATTACCGTTTCCACGAGTTTACCAGTCACTGAGAACACTGAGACTCCAGCTAAGAAGTGCAAGAACGGTAAAAGGACGACGACAGAAAGCAGCTCGTGGTTTAGGAACTTCATCTCTAGCCAAAACTCGGAGGAGGACTGCGAAGAGGATACCACAGAGTGGCCAACTACTTCAGATCCGAGTTTTATATCCAAAGAAACTACTACTGGGAGGTCAGAAGAGGAATATCCTGTCACTACTACGAGCTGGTCAGACTCTAAAAGCACAAAGGGAGTCAGGTGTGATCAGAATCAGTTCCTTTGCGGCGATGGAAGGTGTATCGCGGAGAACATAGTCTGCAATGGGGTTTCAGACTGTGCAGACGACAGTGACGAGTCCAACTGCGATGGTAATTCCATTATGGATAATGATATCGGTTCGAAGATCGAGGAAGAAAACCCAACAGCCTGTGCGAGGTGGGAATTTGCCTGCGATGGGATCTGCATCAGCGATATCTTTGTCTGCAATAACGTGATGAACTGTGAGGATGGATCGGACGAAGCTTTCTGTGGGATGGAAAGTCGAATAAAAGGTAGAAACAGGCTAGTCCACGTGTCCACGTATCTTCTTCTGCTCTACACTTTAACTTGCTTCGTGGGATCTTCGAACATTGTTGAATGAAGCCTTGGCAAAGACGAAGGTCCAAAAGTGGGATACTGTTCTGGATATGTTGGATCTGTAATAGCTGTACAAAGTGGTGGCTTCGTAATGTGACCCAGAAATTGCGAGGAAGAAGATATATGTTTTAGAACTTCGTTTGTGATGTCCATCTATGCTGTACAAAAGCCTCGAAGGGTAAACTCTGAGCATATTTTTAGAGATTCTGTTCTGACGATGCACAGGCTGCGCCATGTGATCCTTCCTTTGCATTTGCGCACTGTAATCGTTGAGATAATTACGAAGACCTTGAGGTAAGCCACAGTTTCGATCACTTTAACAATCGTTGGTAGAGCTTTCAAGTGGAGCTTCGTTTTTCTCAGTCTTTTTCTGCGTATCTTGTTCTAGAGCCAAAGTCATGCCGATGGGATAGGGATTAGATAAACAGCAAATGCAAAGGAATCTGGAGCAGCTTGTACCAGGATTGAACAAGCATCTTTTAATCCTCTGGATAGGTCTCGCGAATTATACACCGATTCATAGTCTGTTTATTTGTCCAAAGGTTGAACAACCGAACCCGAGGATTGAATCTGTTTGAAATTTAAACAACGTCGTTCTCGTTTCTTCTGTTGATCGTCGAGGTTCTCAGTTAGCCACGTTATGCAGACACGAGGAACGAGTCACACAGACGCACACACTGTACATAGAACCCATGGAATATATTCTAATCGCCTTCGAGGGGCTTCGTTCAGATTGCTTTAAATGTTAGCCAGCTTCGAAGGAATCCTCTGTAAAAAAGAAAAATACCCCGTGGTCGAGGAGTCGTGTGCCCTGTCAGGCTGTAAAATACTGTGCCAAGGAAAGCCACGTGTTGTCACGTGATAGGATCGTTTATCCTGCAATGCTATGGAATCTTTTTCGATTTTAGGGTAAAACGAGAAATGTATAAATTACGTTAGAATTCGAGCAATCCGCGAGTGCACTGATGAAAACCAGATAAAGGTCCTAACAATGGAGGTACGAGGAAATGTGTGAAAAGAAAAGTGCTGAAAGAAAGATAAGCGAAATGTCGACAATAGTTATTCAAAAATCTGATGCAACAATGGCATTGCAGGATTAACACAGCCATCAGCAGTATCGCAGCCTGACAGTCGCCATATATAAATACCATTCACCATAACAGATGCTTTCAGTGTATCAAGCCCAGTGTCCCCGCTTTAAATGTGACCACGCGTGGATCTCATAGCTTGTACATAAATTTATATTTAATATATAACCATGTAACATGGCCACCTCGACTCGAGCTTCTCGCCCCTTTGAGGAGCTATATGTCCCGAAGAAGCAGCTCGAGGCGACGGGGTTAACGAAACCAGGCTGTCTGTTTTTGTCGGTGGCGCCCTGTAGATTTGGCCCCGTGCCCTTCTATGGACTTCACCTGCAGCGACGGCTCTTGCATATCGAAGAGCTCTGTTTGCGATGGATTCGACGACTGCCCCCGGGCAGAAGACGAGCTTCACTGTGGTATATAAACACTTACCTATCATTTGGGATCATTCGATGCTGGAGACTCCGGGGAAGCACCGTTTCTTAAAACTATTCTGTCGTGAGCAAATACATCCCCATACGTCGGTTGAATTTTAAGTACAGCTGGACGAAGGATGTGTAGAGTTTCCAGTGTCGATGGTCCCTGCTTTTGCTTGCCAAGTAATAATCTGAACTATTAATGGTACTTACAGAACGGATCATGAGTGGGTGAAGGAAGCTTTGATGGTTGGCGAATTGCATAAACGTGCAACGTAATTGAGCGATGATTTTTAGCGAAATAGAGCATCTAGAGAAGAGCAAAAGTATAAACGAAGAACGTTAAAGCTTCCGCAACCTACTGTGCCTATATTTGTACATTGGTAGCTTCAGAGTTTTAACCCATGCCTTTCTAGATCATTAACTGTACATAGATTCACGCGTCCTGAATACCCAGAAAGTTAGAAGAATTTCCTTACTCCAGTTTGAAACGCTAGAGTCAGAGGACCCGATTGTTCCTCCTGTATTGTTCAAAGTAATAGCTTCTGTATCGTTATTCATCGAACGCTTTCGTTGTTCGTGGACGAGCTTCCAGCTTTTCGTGATGTCATAACAAAATCGAAACCCTACAGGTGATCCCCTTCTTGATCGAGCAACGATTATATCCCCCTAGCAGGAGGACAAGGTAACTCGACATTGGAGAAACAGCTACTTAGCCTCGAAAGAAAGGAGAAATATAACGTGGACTTATGCCTCTTATTAACAAGAGGAACCAAGTGAAAAATGAAATTTTGCCGGGAAACTTCAAAGTAATCGATTCGGTATTTTTTCAATGATTATTAATAATTCTATAGTCAATTAATGATTACGTATTAATAATTTCTTCTTTAATGAACAAGTTAACCTGTCCCCCTGAACGAGAAGCCAAAAACTCTCCCCTATTTAGCAGCATTCATTATCTACAGGTGCGACGGCCACCCGGATTGTCCAGATCGCAGCGACGAAGATTGCGCTAACGAAACCATTACACACGTCACTCAACCTATCAGTACGCCGTTTTCACCCTCTTCATTTTTTTCAATTTTTTATACACAGAATTCCATGATCAATGTCTTTTATAGAAATCGATTTGCATTTGTTATAGCGATGGGAGTAGGTGGGAAGGAATGTTGAAGAAATGCTTAGCGAAATATGAAGTAAAGTCCAAGGAAGATCCATCGAGTTGATTGTATACATTGATCTTGGAGTTTTGGGCTGTGATGTTGTGCGTTTGACGCTGTTGGATGGAACCTTCTGCTCGTTTTAGGTGTACTTTCTCAGCCATTTAGTAACGAACGAACTTAGATCATTGCTTTAGCCTCGATGAAATCGAATTTGAGTAAGCATCGATTTAAGTGACGAGTAAGTTAGAAATGAGTTTGAAGAAGTTAGCAAATGCACCCTACACGTAATAACGTAATCGTAATTTCTTCATTGCACCATAGCATATAGACACAGTTCCATGGGAATGTTATAAAGCAAAAGGAGAAACGCATAAAGTAGATAGTCTATTCTTTAAACGGAAATTCTTATAAATTTTCATGATATTTGCATAAACGAAGTATTCGTGATAATGTAGAAGAGAAAAGAAAAGAAAAGGAAAAGAAAAATTGTTACGAAATCGAAGAAAACAAGCAGATCTTGCCTTCCAACTTGACACAACAGTGAATCTTGCGATACATTTCGCTTGCTATACCATCCGCATTCGATTATACTCGACTCCTCCTCCTACCCTGTCTGACTGCACGTCAAAGAAACGTGTTTACGAATACACAATGGGGACCCTCCTCTACGTAGGTAAAAACCTGGCTGGGTAGACGCGTTTTTCTCGTTTGCTTAACACTTGACAACCGGGGATGACGATGCTGGTCGGCCGTAGCTTACTCGCCACTAATTAATTCATTAGTTTGATATAAGCAGCAGTGAAACTAGCTAAAAAGCCTCCTTTATTTCCAGGTTTACTTTTTCTCAGCTTCTTAACAGTAACCTCTGTCCTTTTTTTCAATGATCTATGCTCCTTGTTGTAAGAGGCTGTAACTACAAAAAGTGCCAGGAGAAAGTGCATATACAGTGATACCGAGTATATTTTCAAGAGAAAGACTATAATTTCGTTCGCTGTTCAACGATTCAAATTCAAGTTCTGTGTTGATCTCTAACATCTTTCATTGTATCGGATAATTGTTTTCCATTCCGTTCATACTATCTATGACAAAATAACGCGAAAGACGTTGATCTTGACTGACCAACCGATTTAATCCTAACTGTAGCATCGTTTTCCTCGAAGCAGATGTATTTTTCACATAGTTTGCACATGGTAGAAAGGCTTGTGTCCGAGTAGCTGGCTTACTGTGCTTCTCTGTGTACGTTCAGGCCAACCATGGCCACGCTGGGCAACCGACAGCCCGAGGGAATGCGATCCGAGCAAGGAAATGCGTTGCGACAACGGACAATGCGTTCTGCTTCAACGTAAATGTGACAATATCTTCGACTGCCTCGACGATAGTGATGAGCATGGTTGTGGTAAGCTTCCTTTGCTCCCATTTAGGTCACTCGGAAGTTCCACGCGTTCCCAATCTTCCCTTACATTTTTCTTTGCTCGATGAAACAGCTGCGATAATGAATTCAGCCTTAGAACCGAGCAGACGTTAATCCTATTAACAAAGATTATTATTAACTTCGGTACCTTTTCCCGTAACTATAATAATTTGGAATAAACATCGACTAATTTGTCAACATTCCGTAATGAATATGAGATTCTGAGTGGCCTATTTCTCCTAACCAAATGCTTTTTGTCAACTCGATACTCATGATTTCCATCATGGATGATCACTAGAGACTACTCTAGCGATCATGTTGGTAATACCAAAGATCCTATTATTGTGGCTTCTTTAGTGCTTGTTGTTGAGCTATTACTTGTGTCAAGGGGTCTGCACACCTGCCGAATGGAAATGTGCCAGTGGTGAATGCATACCAGAAATCGAGAGATGCGACAATGTAATCCAGTGTGCTGACAGTTCTGACGAATTTGGATGTGGTAACTATGGATCCCAGCTATCAGTATGTGGTGAAAAATGCCCTGCCCACCTGGTCTCTTTCCTTTGCGTAACTGTTCTATATTTTTTAACGAAACTATATCTTTCGACGATAGTCGACTGAGATAGTTCGATGATTTGATCATCGATGACATTGCCTGAAATTACCAAGTAAAGTGGCACTTCCCGTGACAATCATAACTAAAATCGTTTATCCTGATTCCAGTTTCCCATCCCCTTCTTCGGTGTTTTTGTGGAGGAGACGGATACCTTTGGCTCATTCTTGAACTAACGTCGCATTCCCTCACTGACAAAGATTTATCGGCAACGTCATACTGTTCAGAAAGACACGAATGCAAATAGAAGTTTTAGTTAATGCTCATATAGACTGAGTTATTATGACGTCTGAATGCATGTTTCTGCACGAGAACCAGTAATTAGTATACGATTCCCACGCATGTATAGCACTTCGTACGTACTAGTTCTAACAAGGTCAGTTGTCTAAAATATATACTTGTTAATCTTTAACCCATTCGTTGTTTAATAAATCTCAATTTCTACCACTCTCATCTTTGAATTTTAATGGTAGATCTATAATCGTCCAACTGTGTATGTAAGAACATAACATCTGAACTTCTGTCCTAACTACTTTTCGAAAGAACATTTTTAAACATCTTATACATATTCTAAAATCGAGCAAGGACTTGGAACCAAATTTCAGGGTTATTCTCTTCTTCTTCTTGGAGTTTTAACAAAATCTTTTTAACTGTCGAAAATGTTTAAGTTAGCACTGAATAACTATGTAAAACACCTTGTATAACGAAAGGGTCAAAGAACTGAGTATGTCCTTCGGAATTTTATTGGAGATTGAACAAATGTGAGTACTTCTTTTCATTCCTGATCAATAGACCAACATATACGCAAAGGAGCCCAGGACAAAGGTGGTGACGGATTCCAATGTTTCTTTTAATAACGCAAGAATTGTAACATCATGTGTGTTATAATTAATTAGAATTAAATACAAGTATATATAATCTGCAGAAAAATAATTATCGACACACGGTAATTAAAAGAAAGCACATGGACTCTGTCGGTAAGGTCATTTTTCTTCCTCTATTGCTCTCCATTGCACGAGACACTCTAATGGAGAACCGTTTGGCCGTTTTTGGGGATTATGTAGTAAGCGAATGTCCGGCTGGAATGTTTCGATGCAACGATGGATTGTGCGTGGACAGTAAAAGACGTTGCGATGGTCGACGACATTGTTGGGACGGCTCGGACGAGATCAATTGCCGTACGATCGTTACTTTTCTTTATCTATCTATTTGTCTGTTTCTTTTTATCTGTCGATTAAGCTCGATTCGCATTACAGGCTGTATCGATGGAGAATCCTTTCGAAGAATTGATCTCCTGATCGACGGTCGATATGAGAGAATTTATAAGCTTTCCCACAACGAAATTAATCTATCAGTGGTCCTCATTCTTATTTTCATAATAGAAGCTAGATGTCAATCGATCTGCTGATTTGGACATGTTACTAACTACTAACTATCTTATGCAAAAGCATTTTCGAAGTTTGCTATTGTTGAATAATTGAAGAAGATAAGAGAAGAAAGAAACAATTTGTGTCCTTGTTGTTTAAGCTTGTTTGCTATACATAGAGAAACTTTCTCGTTTAATCTATGGTCACTGGAACGGGGATGAGAACCACTGCAAAGGCCCACCTGCGTTCTATTTTTCATAATGCAAGAAGCATAGTGCGCGCAGAGGAGCTAGCCTTTTTTACAACCACATTCCCTCATTTTTTGCCAATTTATATTTAGGCAACGGAGTTGTGCGCGATGGTACCAGAAAAACGAAAACAACTTTTAATTCAGAAAACACCGCGGACTCTTGCAGTGGGTCGCAATTAAACAATCACGTCAGAGTCGATCGATCGTGGTCCAGCCTGTAACGCAATTCAGCCACCTCTGGACCGATTTTATCTCCATTCTTCTTTCTCTTTATCTGCCAATCTTCCACCTTCGGATTAACCCCACAATCGCATCTTGAGGAATTATTCCGCGGTTGGATCTCGACGTTACGGTATCGCTTCGCATGAAGGAGCAGATTATCCCTGGGAAAAATGGAGCTCCGAAGCTTTCATAACACACTTTCTAACGCTGACCGTTCCTTTTTTTTTTCCAGCAACAACCAATCCACACATCCTCCTCTTCGATGTCTTCGTACGCAAGATGTTCCTGTGTGTCTCCTCAAGATTATCCTTGAAAGAAATTAGAAGGATAAAGTAGAAAGAAATTGGAGAACGTACCAGTCGAATAGATAAAACGCGTTGGTTTATCGAATGGATGCTCGAGGGAACAAGCTGGAGCGTGAAAAACGAGGAGAAGCCAGAAAATGGAAATCGATGCGTACGGGGATCGCGAGAACACTCCGCCTCTTTCTTGGTTGCGCGTCGGTCTTCAAGATGGCAATTAAGAAGCTGTAACTAATGCCGGCTGGCTCTTGTCTAGTCGTGCGAGCCGTTAATCTCGTTTCCACCTTCTATCGACCGTATTTCGAGACGGACGTTGACTACCGTCTCAGATTGAATCTCGACGTCGCAACCAGGGTCTCATGTCCGAAACTAAGAAAACCCGAGGCTATAGAAGCTATGAATTGTCCTCTGAATACATACTTCGATGCTAGAATCACTTTCAAATTAGATTAGATTAGACGCTATTAATCGTGGGTTGAAATGGATCGCGGTGAATTTTTTAAAGTGAGGTTACACTCACGTGACCGTTGACAATACTGTCAATTTTGGTACAACAGCACGGGTTTTGGCTCTTGTACATGGTAAAAACTATTCTTTGGGAAAAATACGAGAAAAATGTCCAATGAATGCTCCTCGTAAGAAACTTTGTTTTGGAGAGAATTGAACTTGAAAGGCGCGCGTTTTGCGCGGTCTCAGTGGTTCCCAACTAAGTTATACGCAGCGTTAATTTTGTCAAACTTGCATAATTATGTCTCTACGCGTCTTTTGGAGCTAATTTCTTTCGCTGACCAATCCCTCGCGTTACTGTTTGTACCTTTTTTTTTTATAATTTTAACGTATTTAATTAAAACTACTCAAAGATCGGTGAATTTTTAAGGAAAGCAAGCTTTGCATAGAACTTATTAGAGAATCGTATATGTAAACTGTAAATTAGAAATATAGCGAATTATCTTTAAGTATATAAAAACGTTCGGATTGAGAACTACTGTAGTGGCTGTGCTAAAAGCACGCACTCGCGACCGACTTTCAAGTCGTTTTTCTTGAGAACGGAAACTCGGGCGAAAAAATATGTATCGCGCATTTTTGACTCGTTTTTACATGAATCGCCCTGTTGACCCACCCCACAAATTATTTCACATTTTATATGAAATATATCCGCCTTAAATAAATCTTGCAAAGGGACATTTAAATTTTTAACGTTAAAATAATTTTCAACTAAAAATCGTTGGTTCTCCTGCTAAAAATGAAGCAGTTATTATGAAACGCGCTCTTTCTTTGTAATATTCGTGAAAATCTTTGACACAACGATGATTTATATCGGACTAATAACAGAAATGTAATTCCAAGTAATCTAGCTCTTTTTCTCTTCTGTAGCCTCGTTTAATTAACAATTATCAAGAAATCTTTGTATGTTTCAGCGCGACACCCTTTTAAAACTCGTTTTAAACTTTGAACCATTTAATCATGGATACTTTGAAAATACGTGGAATATATTTTTCAAAGAATTCTGTCTTTCTATTGCTCGAATTTTCTATCTGTCACTTTTACCATTCTTGCTCTTTGTCACATATACGTTGTTTTATTTTTTTGATCTATTTTTTTTTTTTTATCTCTTTCAGCACAGGTTGCCTGACCTTAATATGTACATACTACTTCTTGCTCTCTCTGATTGTGTATGTGCATAAATAAATAAATATTACGATGTTTATATTTATTTATTTATATTTATATATATTTAAATTTATATCTATACATATATATACATATATATATATATATCTTTTTTCCATTCTGGTCTACTTATTAGATTATAAGTCTTGCACAGCGCACGTACACAGGATCCTAAGATCGATAAACCTACGAACCGATCAAATTTTTATATTTTTACATACACTAGTATTGAAAGAAAGTTTAGTAGGTCAATGTATTTTCATTAAAACAACTGTTCATTTCTATTTTCCTCCTTTTCCTGCATTATACAGCACAAATTCAGGGAACTTTTGATCAACCCTAGTGTATGTGACCCCCAAACCTATCTTTCTCTCTCTCTCATTCTCTCAATCTCTCGCCTATATGGTACACCATAGAGCCTTAGATTTACGAGGCGTCGCCTTTTGCCTAGATCTTTCTGTTTGATACCGTTTAAACGTTCCTGTAGCTTTTGGAAAGTACATTACACACTCTGACTCCCTAGGGAGGACGTAGTTCACGGAGTTATCGTACTGCATAGTAGAATTTTCCTACTTACCACTCTTCTAATACACGCACACTCGGAATACTAATGGAACATACATTCATTCCCAGGCCTTTGGCAGTTATCGAATCGATTCTGGTATGATCAACTGCAAAGTTAACATCACGGAGAATACCAAATTGCTGATAAGTTCTTCCTTTAAAATCACTGAGTAGCTCTCCAGACTTTGGATTAGTTGTACAATCATAACGTGAAATTGTCCAAATTTGTTCACTTTCGTATTTCATCGTCAGGAAGATAGAATGTCGCGCGTGATATGGCGACGTATCAAAATTTTCTAAATCTATCCAATGAGCTATAAGTTAGAGCGAAGAGATAGCAAAGTTCCATTGGTATTCGAATTGATTCTACTAATAACTTTCTATAAATATTGACGGTGTACATCTATCACGACTCCATAAAGAAGTCAGCCATGGGATCAGTGTACACGTGCGCTCTTTAAAACGTCGCATGACAGCCGGCAGTGTGCACGCTGTTTGTGTTTGACGATTTTATCCTTGTTCGTATCTCGACTAGGACAGTCTATCGATCGTCTAATTGTCACGGACCTCTAATTCAACCTCTTCCTCCTCTCATTTAATTCCATTAATGCACTGTAAGAAAATCGATCAGAAGCTATCTATGTACATTTCTGCCACGTTCCAACTGTCCAGTCGAGTTTTTCTTTCTTCCGGTGCCTTGGAAGAATGTACCACTTGGCATCATGAAGCTCTTATTGGGTGGTGGCTTTAGGATAGCGGGCACACTGTCTACTTTTTTCTCCTTTGGTTTCTGTTTCTCAAATTTCTTTTGGGTATTTTATAAGCGTCGCCCTTTCTCTCGTTAATTATCGCCTGTCTTTTCAGAATGTCCCATTGGCCAACAACCCTGTGACGACGGAGTATGCATCTTCAAGCACTTCTTCTGTGATAACAACATCGATTGCCACGACGGTAGCGACGAACGTGACTGCAGTAAGGATTTCAAAGCATTTCGAGCTCCTCTCCCACGAGCTCTTTTAGTCTTCGAATTTTTCTCGGGATCCTATTCACCATCTCCTGGACGCCATTTATAAGCTCTAACGTATTCCAAGGACTGTATAGAAGTGAATCGAACCAGAATAATCCTTGAAATACTCTAAAAATTGTATAAATGATTCTTAACGATGAGCTTTATACCCTTCGTCTCTGCAAATGACACATCCTTCATCAGCACTAACTCAATGTTGAAGAACTTGTGTTCAGGATATACGTATAACAATGCCAACCGTCAAACCTATTTTAAGCTTTCGATACGTATACAAAGTAATTCGTCCAATAAAATCACAAAAATGAAAAAAATATTCTAAATTTCAGATATAACCGTTGTAACGCCTCCACCAGGATGTAGCGAGAGTGAGTTCACCTGTCACGATGGAAGTTGCATTCCGCGATCCTCTGTCTGCGACCGACGGGTCGATTGTCCCCATGAAGATGACGAGGCAAATTGTCCTCGAGGTAGGGTGAAAACATATTTTGGAAATAGCTTATGATGCTGAAGAAAACAAATTAAGCAGCAACACGTGTGCACCGGCAGAAACGTATCCTAGACATTACATAGGGAAATGTAGTCTGGCCCAAGGTGGATGAAAAAGGCTGTAGAGACCAGTTAGAATTTACATTCACTCGATTGAATATCTTCAAAGCCTTAACTGATTCTCTGAGAAATATCTTCGAAAACTTTTTAACAATTTTTAACAATTTCTTTGTGTAATAGAAATTTATGTACTTCCGAAGTGACAAACTATCTCTCATGGAGAAATTTTAAATGTATGCTACTGTTTGACGAGAACTTCTATTCAGGAAGAGTAAGTTATATCGTATATAAATGGAAAACATGTTTCTCAAGTTTTTGTTAAAGTTTATGAAGATATATAATGTCTGACCATGTGGCCATTTCCACTACCTGTATATAAGCTCTTCGGTTTTGCACACTTGATCCAGTAGATCACGCAACGCACCAGGTGCACACGCAATGTTTGGCCGTGACATCGTGTCCACTGCCTGCTAGAGGCAACCAATTGTGCCGCACCGAGTTTTGTACGTGCACTAATTCAATCGCAAATGCCTCAAACTGTACACCAGACTGACAGTAGAGCATTAAGCACTCGTTGTCAACCTAAATTATACTTTGTGTAGTATTAACTGATATGGTTGTGAATTATTTATTGCCAGTCTGAAGTACATTGTAAATTACACACAAAATACTGCAAATAGTTAGTCAGACGATGACTGCTTCTTCCTACAGAGATAGGAAATTGGAATCGCAGTAGTAAGTAATCGCAGTTGCAGGATTAAATTCCAAAGGGCAGAGATGGATGATTGTTAAGAAAGCAGTAAAAAGAAAGGAATTATGTGCAAAGTGGTTTAGTTTCGGTTACTTCTAGGTAGAAACACGTCGGATAGAACCACCCTGGTAGGGCTAATCCACGAGAACCACGCTAGCAAGGGTTACAATCTGGATTATCAGGCGCCAACTAATTTGAGCACTCCAAGGAGTTGTGCTCCGGATGATTTTGTTTGTGCTGATGGCACTTGCATCCCTGAAACTCACCACTGCGACCATTTCTACGACTGCCGCGACTTTACCGACGAACAGTATTGCTTCGGTTAGATCACTGGCAGACCTTGATGATCTGCTGGCGTCCACTTAGTTTGTTTCATTTCAATGGCTTTGTGATTGCAATTCAATTCTATTACATTTGTTGAATTAAATAGTGTATACATTGTAGTATTTATTCGATCGATTAATTTAGTGTTCCCACATAAATGATCGCGAAACGAATCTACTTGTGGTCACTCAACTGTTTCATGCGACCAATAAAAGGAATAATTTTAGGCCGCCAATTAATAAAAAATCGAATCATAATCTCCAAAAATTTGAGCATCGCTCAAAAGTATCTCTACTGGTTTCGATATAAGCAAAAGTGGTAGAGCTTACTTCTCGAAAGAAATATGTTCATTTATCCAAAAAATATGCGATCGCTTATCCGGGAACTTCCTGTAATGTAACTTCAAAATAACAGAAGTAATTTAGTTTGAAATTTCCATGTCCGTTTTGCCTCGGTTCTTGTGTCTAGTGTGACATTTAAATAATTTTTAGTTAAAACATTCATGGCTCGATTTTAATCATAGAGAATGAAGTTAGATTTTTACTTATATATTGGACGCCACAGATTCTCTAGGCTCTGCACTTCTTTTTCAGTCTGTGTTAGCAGCCAAATAGGCAGTATGTAGGTTGTTCAAGTAGAGATTGAATAAATTCTATACGACCCAATCACATGTTCAAAGCATCCCTATATAAATTATTAGTGCATCCATTGCCTGATGTGATCTGTTGAATCTCTTAGACCTTGTTATGGCATGAAATATAGTAAATCTTTGATCTAGTAAAGAAGAAAGGTATTTTAGTACCTTACAATTGCTCTTCTTTTAAAGTAATTAATAGTAGACAATGTTTTAAATGTTGTAGATAATAGGATAGCAGTTTCTCATTCTATAGTGATATATTAACAAACACGCACAGAAAAATATACATTAGAAGTTATTAAACATCTATTTTTTATTAGTTTTCTGTATGTGTTGATTTTTGTATATAGATCAATCATTTTATATCTGTTTTAGCATTTGAGGTACTGTGGTGATCTATGCTCTTTTTGGTTTCTTAGATTTTAGATTTAAGAATTATATAGATCCTTTATTCCTTATTCCCATTTCTAAAATATGGTTATTTTTTCAAAATACAATCATCAGTTTTATTTGTTACAATATACATTATATTTATAGGCTGTGGCAAAGACCAATTCCAATGTAGAAATGGAGATTGCATCAGAACTGACCAAAAATGTAATGGTCTCTTAGACTGTGTTGATGGATCTGATGAAGATTGTGGTAAGGCTCTGTACCTTGTTAACATTTCTTGTCGAAAGAAATGTTTTAAACATTTTTATATGAATTTTACCAGATCAAGTTGGTTCTCGCCCAATGCCTGGCCGTTGCTCAGCAGGTTATATCATGTGTGTTCAAGACAAAGATTGTGTACCTCAGTCCTCCCGCTGCAATGGAGTGCCAGAATGTAGAGATAGATCTGATGAAGAAAACTGCTGTACGTAATTAATCTGATTGATTATAATTTCATTGTATTATTTCATATGCTCAATTTTTATATGTTCTGTATAGACATGAAACATGATGAAGAACAACTCAATTTGAAGACCTATCCTAGTGAACAAGTGATCAAAGAAAGTAAGTTTTATGAGCTGTTTACTGTATTACATAAACATTGCATATACACAAAATACATACATAAAATAGTAAATTAGGTAAAAATGTGAAACATTAATTAATAAGAGTTTTGATTATCTTTCTCTTGCATTGGCCAGACCCGCAGAAGCAAGGTAAGATTTTTATGTAGAGTATTTACAAATAATGAAATGTGATTAATGATTTTTCAGTATTATGGGTGATCAAGCAAGAGAGCCACTTTATTCATTCATAATTACAGTCAAAATTCATCTATGTAATGCTTCATATTAATTAATTTAAAATTGAAAGTAAATGCAATTTGCATGTTGGGATAATACATTTAAATGAAAATAAATACTTTACAGCTTAACATTTTCAGGAAATTATTCTTAATTCAAAACAACAAAACTTTCTTTTTAACACAAGTTGCTTACACAAATATTGCAATTAATTTGATAGGAATAACATGTAATGTGAAAAGAGAGAAGTTTCTTTAGAAAGCACACTATTATCTTGAAAATTAGGTCGTGAAGTCGTCTTCCAATGCCGTGATGAGGGTCCTCTTCGAGCCAGAGTACGTTGGCTACGAGGAAATAATCTTCCTCTGCCTCCTGGAAGTCGAGATATCAATGGTCGTCTAGAAATACCAAATATCCAGTTGGATCATTCAGGACCATATATCTGCGAGGCTGTTGACTATCCTTCACTCATCCGTGGCCGACAAATGACCGTATACCTTACTGTAGAAAAGTGTATGTACTATGTATTCTTAGACGTAAAAGAATTTATGCTTGGTCGAAAAACCAGTTACCATCTACAATCTTATTTTCTGTGTAGTTGACCCACCAGCAACAAACAGACCTCATGTGTGCCAATACGATGAAGCTACCTGTAGCAATGGTGACTGCATTCCCAAGTCTCATATATGTAATGGTAGACTGGACTGTACTGATGGTTCTGATGAAATGCGTTGCAGTAAGTCTCTATTCATCTTTAGTCCTATTTTATTCTATTCTATTCTGATCTCTTGTATATTTATGTCATAAAAAATGTATTATATTAAATAGATCCACATGGCTGCGAACCCAATGAATTCCGCTGTAATAATACACAATGTGTGAGCAAACTATGGCGCTGTGACGGAGAAAAAGACTGTGCTGACAATAGTGACGAAGAAAACTGTGCCCCGAGCAGACCAGGCTCTCCTTGCCGTTTTACAGAGTATACTTGTGCCAGTAATGATCAATGTATACCTAAAGGTTATCACTGTGATTTGGAAAAGGACTGTTTGGACGGCAGCGATGAAATTGGATGTTGTAGGTGTATTCTTCTTCGTATTTTACATATGGTATATGCAAAAAGTCTGCTTCAAACAATTATTTTCTGTTTTTTGTTAACACTGTCTAGCCATAGCACATATAGTGAAGCCACCACAACCCATGATTACTTTAAATGTAGGAGAAGTTTTAGTAATCACTTGCATAGCAGTCGGTGTACCTACTCCTGAAATTAACTGGCGTCTTAACTGGGGTCATATTCCTCCTAAATGCACTATGACATCAATAAATGGAACTGGAACTCTTACTTGTCCAGATATTCAACCAGAAGACCAGGGTGCTTATTCCTGTGAGGCATTAAACAGTGGTAGTCGTTACGTGTTCGCTACACCTGATGCCATTGTAATGGTAAACAAATCTGTCGGAGACATTTGTCCCAAAGGAATGTTTAATTCTGAGGCCAGACATATAGATGAGTGTATTTCCTGTTTTTGCTTCGGTGTCGCTACCGAGTGTCACAGTGCCAACCTCTTTACTTATCAAATTCCACCACCTTTTGATCGTTACAATGTTTTAACAGTCAAATATCAACCAGATTTTAATATTCAAAGAGATGTCAGCAAACAAGTCACAATGTTAAAAGGTATAGGTCGAGATGGATTACAGCTGTATCAATCAAAGGCATTGTTACCCGAATTAAGTAACGAAAAGGAATCCCCATATTTTGCTCTGCCTGAAAGTTATCATGGAAATCAGTTAAAATCTTATGGTGGTTATTTGAAATACAGAGTACGTTTTAATGGAACTGGTTTGCCAACCACCACACCATCAGTTATTTTAAGTGGAAACAATTATCATCTGGTGCACAGAGGAAAACAATTGAAACCGAATTACGATAATGAAGAAATTGTTAGATTCTTCCAGGGTGAATGGTATAAAATACAAGGCTGGAACGAAATTCCGGCCACTAGGGAAGATATCATGATGACTCTGGCGAATGTAGATAACATTCTAATAAAGTATGTGTACATGTTTAATGAATATATGTAAAAATTCGTTTGAAACTGACAAAAGAATTATTTATTAGGGTACAGTATGACACTTCTCCATACTTAGACGTCCGTATCACACATATAGTTATGGACACCGCTGATGTAAGGAATACTGGACTTGGATCAGCATCTTATGTAGAGGAATGTGAATGTCCTTCAGGTATATACTAGTTTATTTTTAATCCAGATTATAAGGCATATAAGATTAATAATGAAATATAATATTCATCTAGGATATAATGGCCTATCATGCGAGCAATGTGCTCCAGGATATCTCAGACGAGAATCTGGTTCTTGGCTTGGTCAATGTTACAGAGATGAACCACCATGCCCTGCAGGATACTATGGGGATCCTTCAAGAAACATTGTTTGTCAAATGTGTCCTTGTCCACTCACCAATCCATCTAACCAGTAAAAGAATAATATAAATTTAATAAAAAAAAATGTTCTCTAAATAATAATATTTGATATTCTAAATATTTTTATAAAATAGATTTGCACGCACCTGTCATCTCGGATCAGATGGTCAACCAACTTGCGATTGTCCACCAGGATACGTAGGTCGTAGATGTGAACAATGCGACGTGGGATATCAAGGAAATCCTCTTATTCCAGGAGATATGTGTGTTCCCACATCTCATTGTGATCCCAATGGCAGTCTAACTCTACTTGCAGATCCTATCACCGGAAGATGTCGATGCAAGGTATTAAATTTTAACTTTTTTCATTTTTTCTTTTTTTTTTT